GAGGAGGAGGAGGAGGAGGAGGAGGAGGAGGAGGAGGAGGAGGAGGACCTATCCCAGCATTAAACCATACAGACTGCAGGACTCCCCCTTCTTCTCTTCCTCTTTCTTCAGCTTCTACTCCATCTTTTCTTTCCTTCTTCTCTCCCCAGCAATGTCTGGCATTTCAGGAATGCAACTCCTCCCCCCCCCCCCCCCCCCCCCGCCCCCACCAACCCTCACCCTCATATGCCAATAAACCATCCCCACCTTCAGACCCAACCCCTCCCCCCTCGGGGAAGCTTGGCTCTTAGATTCCCATTCTGAACCTGTCCTGTTCCCCCAACCCCACCCAGCAGAGCCTTACCTGGGCTTCAACTTCGCCAGCCTCAAAACTGTGGAAGAGAGGCACCCTCTTTTGAAGGAGAGGTTAAAGCCTCAGGCCACTGCAAAGAGAGGGGTGTGTGTGTGTGTGTGTGTGTGTGTGTGTGTGATAAGGAGGCAGCGAAACAGGACAGCTCCCCACTTTGAGAAACACCTCCCCCCCAAGCAAAACCCACACATTATCCAGACTCCGATTCAAGTCCTGTGGGTATCACATAATATACTCTATACGAGAGGAAAATCTGAGCTCACCTTTGCATTTATTGGTTGTTTTATCCAGGATGGCCTTGGTGGAGACAATTTTGCCGTATCTGTAAGTACAGGAATGCATCAAAATAAGGGACAGAATAAGCGCAGCAAATAAAGGAAGTTTGCGGAATGGATATAATGGTCCTAACTATCTTCCCTGAAAATACTTCTCTTTCATAGACTCTTCCCTGCCGCCCTCCCGAACCCCCCCCCGCCCCCCAAGAAGACTGAAAAATAAAATGTTTTCTCCACTCAGGAATTGGAACTGCTTTTCAATTAATTGCAGGACAAGCAGGATTCACTACTGGTGAGAAAAGAATGATCTGCGAGCTGTATTTGGCCCTTGGTTTCCCACCCGTGCCCTCCAGAAGAATGGTAAATTCTTCACTGTAACAGCCAAGAAGCTGAAAGTGTCTAGAAAAGTTTCTTCAGATTTTTGTAGTCCCCTGCATATCTCCGTCACTTCCACATATTTGTAAACCTGGATGTACCATCTCTGTGAAGGAAGGTGAACGAAACAAACAAAAATGATATTTTTTGTAATATAACTGCATCTAGACCAGCCCTCATCTATTACTGTGCAACTTTTCATAGGAAAAGACCTATAGGTGCCTCTGTTTGGAGAGAACCTGACAACAAGTAGGTTGCTTCCTTTTTTTTTTTTTTTTGGCAAAAAGAAAAAAAAAAAAGCTTCAGTGTCTCCAAATGGATAGCCATGATATTAGGATGTATAGCTGGAAGCAATGGTGGGATTCATATTTTCTTTTTACTACCAGTTCTGTGGGTGTGCCTTGGTGGGCATGGCAGGGGAAGGATACTGCAAAACCCCCATTCCCTCCCCGCCCCACTAACCTGCTTTCCAGCTCCGTTCTCCTGTGCAGGGCAACAAAAGAAGACCCAGCCAATCGGGAGGCCGAGACTAGATGGGGGCGGGGCCAGTCAGAGGTGGTATTTTTGCCGGTTCTCCGAACTACTCAAAATTTCCGCTTCCGGTTCTCCAGAACTGGTCAGAACCTGCTGAATCCCACCTCTGGCTGAAAGGTATCGAGGAGGTATGAATGGGTGACCTATCTTGACCAGTGGTTGGTCAAGATCCCGATAGGTTCAGAGATATGGAGTAGCCATTTAGATAAATCAGTTGTCAAAGAGGTTTCATTAATTAATTGCAAGCTCTTCCAATTTCAAAGGCACCAGGGCACTAGTTCTGACAGCAAATGAATGGCAAAGTGAGGTTGGGTTTACTTGAATCATTACAGGTAGTCCTCAAGGAGTGGTGCAGTGGCCTAGATGTGGAGCTCTCGCCTCACAATCAAGAGGCTGTGAGTTCGATCCTAGGTAGAAGCAGATTATTTATCTCTCTGGGCACGATGAGAATATATCTGCTGAACAAAACTCTGCATTGGCGACAGGAAAGGCATCCGGCCAGTAAACACTCCATTCAGTTGACAAGAGTCCACCCCACAAGGGATTATGGGGTCATGAAAAGAAGATGATGATTATAGGTAGTCCTCAACTTAACAACCATTCATTTAGTGAATGAATGTGAGAGGGATCTTGGAGTCTTAGTGGACAACCAGCTAAATATGAGCCAGCAGTGTGCAGCAGCAGCCAAAAAAGCTAATGCAATCCTAAATTGCATTAACAGAGGGATACAATCGAGATCAAGGGAGGTACTAATACCACTCTAAGAAGCCTTAGTAAGACCACACCTAGAGTACTGCATCCAGTTTTGGTCACCACATTACAAAAAAGATGTTGAAACTTTAGAAAAAGTACAGAGAAGAGCAACCAGGATGATTAGGGGACTGGAGACCAAAACACATGAAGAATGGTTACAGGAACTGGGCTTGGCTAGTCTAGTAAAGAGAAGGACCAGGGGAGACATGATAGCAGTCTTCCAATATTTGAGGGGCTGCCACAGAGAGGAAGGGGTCAAGCTATTTTCTAAAGCGCCTGTAGGCCAGACAAGGAATAATGGATGGAAGGAGAGATTCAACCTGGAAATAAGGAGAAACTTTCTGACAGTGAGAACAACCAACCAATGGAACAGCTTGCCCTCAGAAGTTGTGGGAGCATCATCACTTGAGACCTTCAAGAAGAGATTGGACTGCCATTTGTCAGAAATGGTGCAGGGTCTCTTGGGCAGGGGGTTGGACTAGATGACCTACAAGGTCCCTTCCAACTCTGATTATCTGTTAGTGACTGTTTGATGTTACAACGACACTGAAAAAAGTCACTTACGACCAGTCCTCACGCTTACAACTGTCATAACATCCCTAGAGTCATGTGATTATAAAGTTTGGGCATTTGGCACGTAATTACAAAAAGTTGCAGTGTCCTGGGGTTGCCTGATTGTCAGTTGTGTCCTTCCTAGCCAGTTTCCAACCAGCAAAGTCAATGGGGGAAGCCAAAGATTTGCCTTAAGGCACACAACTCATTTAACAACTGCAGTGATTTGCTTTTAACACCTGTGGCAAAAAAAAAAGTTGTAACCTCTGATGCGACTCACTTAATGACCACCTGGCTTAGAAATGAGATTCTGGTTAAAGTGAGAACTCTGCCTTGGTTTGGACTGATTGATAACTTTGGGACTGTTCTATCTTTTTTATTTTCTTTTGAATATTCTGGTTGTTGTAAGAAGAAAGAAGGAGAAAAGAAAAGAAAAGATTTATAATGGCTCTTTCTGTTGAGGAACTAAGAAATGGTGTGGAAGAAGCTTTCCTTTTCTTAGAAATGGCGCTTACTAATTATCAACAAAAATTACAACAGATGAAGACAGCAGAGGAACAAGAAAGAAAGGAAGGAGCCATCTTTAATGAATCTCAGAATTTGATCCAGAAAAAAGGAAGAGAGAAAGAAAAGAAAAGAAGAGAAAAGAAGAAAACTAAAGGATTTAAGGACTTAAGATCTAAAAAAACATTTAAGAAAGGGAAAAATAAAGTGCAAAACCAATATGATGATTGTAAACAAAGGGGAAAAGAAATACGACAGAGAAGGGAAGCCGGTAAGGCAGAGGCTAGAAGAAGGGGGGGTAGAAAGGTTTGTTGGGAAAAGAAAGAAAGGGAAAAGGTGGAGAAAAGCTACAACGTTTTGAAATTAAATGGAAAAAAGGAATTTTTTATGGATAATGGATAAAGTATAATTTTTTTTTTAAAAAAAAAAAAGATTTTGCAAGGTACATAAGATGAGATGGTAGTATTGCAATGGTTTAAGAGTTGATAAGAGATTAAAATGTTAAAATGTTTAAAAATGATTGGTTTTAAAACTTAATAATAGGAGAGGTTTAGAATATTGTTTTAATTAAAGAGTTTAATAAAATTATGGTATTGATGTTATTATAAAATTTTTATTATAGTATTTCTTTTTAATATTTGGATTTATTCTCTAATTATGCACTTAATTGTGTTGGATGTATTAGTTAGATAGAATGTACCAAGCAAAATCTGATTGGGTATTAGATATTATTTTAAAGATTAATTTGATTAACTTAGGGGGGAGATAGAAAGGCATCATACTCTGATTAATGATTTCAGGAGAAACTGATTTTCTTTTTTTTCATAAGGGATGAGACAAAGGGATGATAAAAAATGGACAAAAGATACAAATATAATGATTTAAACTAAGATGATTAATTAAGGTAGAATTAAGAAGTGTGAAATATGTGGAGAAGTTAATATAGAAGGCTTAGAATGGTAAATAAAATAAGTAATGATATGTAAGATGAGCATGAATATAATTGAAGTCCATGAAGAGAGAGACACCTGGGTCCAAGTTACTTTCCAAAAAGATATTTTTTTTATGTTTTTTGTGTTGTGTGTATATGTCTTTTTTGGGGGGAGAATTGGTAAAAACTTGTAGAAATATAGAATGAGAATAATGGTAACTAAGTCAGAAAGAAACAGATGAAATAATAATAATGATATTGAATAAGAGTAAAGAGAAGTAAAGAGAAATTGAATAAGAGGTTTTGGTATATTATATGGAAATGGTTTAAAACAGAATCATAATTTATCTGACTTGTTAAATTTACAAGGGAAAAAGGTTTAAACATGTAATGAATAATGATAATTTGTGTGTTTTAAAAATTAATAAAACTTGTTTTAAAAAAAAAAAAAGAAATGAGATTCTGGTCCCAACTGGGCTTACAAATTGAAGACTTCCTGTAGAACAGGGCTAGGTGAGTTTGGTGAGATAAGCCATACTCCATGGCTTTTGAGGAGTGAAATCTACAGACAGCTCAGTAATACAACCAGGAAGAGGGCTGATGGCTACGCACCAGGCTGGAGCTCAGCTCCCATTTCTGAGTGGGAATTTTGTGTTTTTTAATATAAATCCTATTCCACCCATGACTGCCTCCAAAGGATGGGAAATCATGTTGCTCAAATTCAGTAATCAAGCAGTGAGTATTTGGTAGCATGATCAGACCTGGCTTGGGGAGCCTAAAAAAAAAACACTTTTAGAAACTGCCCTAAAGATGCCTTTTTTTTCCCCAAGAGGCAACTGGACTTTCTGGTTTTTCTTTGAAGTCATTTCACTTCTCATCCAAGAAGCTTCTTCAGCTCTAAAAAACGCATCTCCTTTTTCAAGCATCTCTTGAAAAAAAAAAAAAAAGAGCATCTTTGGGGACAACCATGGCCTGGATATACTGAGAATCTCCATAGACTTTCAGAAACTGTGTTAGCCGAGGTTGCCCATCTCTGCACTAGAGAACATTCAAAGTTGGTGCATCCAACGATTTATACCGCGCACGGTAGAATGGCTTTTGTGATATTTGAGGTTCAGCTTTAAAAGGGGGGGAAAAAAAACAACAACCTGCACACTCCTAATGACAACTTACAAATAAAATGTCAAACTCTGGAAGACATGCAGTACCACACCAGATCTGAAATTCTAGCCTTGCACAATCCGAGTCCGAGAAGTACGGAATGCTCAGTTCTGGGTGGTAGAACACTTCCATAGATACATACAAAAAAAAACACACCTCAGTGATGTCCTTACATGAGCCTATATTAAAACTTGGAAAGGTGAGAGCTGGGAATATCAAAATAGCCAAGGCACAGCTATGGTTCCCACCCGTCCTTGAACTAGCAGAAAACTGTACCAACATAACATAAGCTGCCTCTGGTGATGATCTCTACCCTGCCACAGATATGACGCTGACAAATGGTGATGTTCTTATTAATAAGCAAGCAGGACACACACAAAAACAGGGATTAATACATTTTCTACTGGCTTTTATTCTTTTCCCCTCTCCAGGCATCGCAAAGTCAGAAATTTTCTGACGGTGAGAGCAGTCGACCAACGGAACAGAAGTTGCCTTCCGAAGTCATGGGAGCTTCATCCCTGGAAGCTTTCAAGGAGAGACTGGACTGCCCTCTGTCAGAAATGGCATAGGGTCTCCTGCTTGGGCAGGGGGGTGGACTAGATGACCTACAGGGTCCCTTCCAACTCTGTTAGTCTGTGATCTAAATGGCGGGAAAGTGTTTTCCTTACCGTGGGCGATGAATGAGGCAGAGGCAACTTCTGACAGAGGGCTAAATCAGCCAGCCTCTGAGCTACCTGTGAAAATTTGCTTTGGTTTTGCACACATGTTTCGTACAGGTGCCGTCAAAGGAAGCCCAAGTATCAACTGGCTCAAGTTCATTTCAAATATGGGTTTAGAGCCGTTCTAGCAGGGCACTACAACAATGTTCAAAAGTGGCCTGGAGCAGGGGGTCTCCAACCTTGGTCACTTTAAGCCTGGAGGACTTCAAGTCCTTTTTCAGATAGCTTTGCTGGCTGGGGAATTCTGGGACTTGAAGTCCTCCAGGCTTAAAGTGACCAAGGTTGGAGACCAATGGTCTGGAGAAGAGTTCATGGGGAAAATTACCCTGGGAAGCAGCAGAAAGAGATTGAGCTGGCTGTCTCTCCTGCTTCACTATGAAGCCTAGCCCATCCCAACCATTTAGCCTGATACAGATCACCAAACATGGGATTGTACAGGATGAGAGCATTCCTGCTGCTTAAGTGGAAAGGTTTTTGAAGAGGACGCCCAGGGATCAGAGGAAAGTGAGTGTGCCATAAATCCCTGGCCAATCTCGCCCTTTAAGGGCCACCTCGCAGCAATATGAACTAAATGAAATGGTGAAAGGTACCAGACACCTCCCATGTCAAAACCATGGGAGCCTCCCGAATGCTTGAAGAGGTAAGGTAAGGTTTTAACTCTGGAGTGGCTAAGGACAATTTTGAACTGCTCCTGGTTCGAATCCTGGAGGGAAAAGAAAGCAGCCCCACCAAGACCGGGCCAGAAAAGATGGTTACTAAGATATGCTCCTGACCCAGTTTCCCATGGAACTGAAGAAAGAGGGAATGGTTATCCCAGCATCCTCTGAATAGTTCTGGGATAATTAGAAACAACCTTGGCGGTGTAATCATTTGCTGAGAATGGCTCTAATAGCCCTTTTCTTTTAAACCCCTTCATTAGCTTCCTTATCGCTATCTTGCAAGGGAAGTCACAGTTATGCACGCAATTCCTTGGTCCAGCCTTTCTAAGGCAGCCTTAAATTCCTCCAACCTATTACAAACACCCCCTCCCACCTCCCGGAGTTAGTGTGAGCCCTGAATTAGTCTCCCTTTAAAAATAGCCAGCGGACTCTGGCTCCCTTCCCCTCCCCCAAGTGCTGAGCCCTACAGAGTCCATCCCAGCTGCCCTCTGACCCCACCCGCGATGCTTCCTGTTCACCCCGAGCAGGATTTCCTGCCCAGGGAAGGACAAGCCCAGGAAATCCGACCGGCGCCAAGAACAGCCAAGTCCTGGCGCCTCCCAGCCAGGACTCAGGGGAGTCCAGCTGCAGGGTTTCAGAGCGAGATGAATCATGCTGAATGCTGTGGTTGTGGTCAGACCTCCAAATGGGGGGGGGGAAGGTCTACTGCTTTGCAGATGTGGGAATGAAGGCACAGGAGGAGGAGGAGGAGGAGGGCACCACACACAAATGATGTTGCAAGATAGGGGCAGAATCAGGAATGCCGCCCAGAATTCCCAGATCCCAGCCCCTGCCAGTAGTAGGCTGTGGGGCTTGTTTCCTTCCCTTCCCTTTGGCCCTACCCAAGGTCTCCGCCACTGGTTGCAGCTCTCATCCATGATCCCTTCTCTCACACATTCCTGGTATGAAGCAGGCGTGTTTGTCAAGTGTGGCTTTGGGGCCAGATCCAGCATTCCAGACCGGGGTGAGCTGAGGTAAACGAGGAACAGCCCCCTGCCCACCCACCCTTCCTGGCCTCCCAGTTTCAAGTACTACAGCTTTGCTCAGTCTCCTTCAGGCGAGGCTCAGGGAGGGAAGAGCGGAGCAAACCCTGGCAGGCAATTAGGGAGCCACGGACTTCGCAACGTCAACGCTGCGTTGCTGCAGGCAATGTGTACGTGACTGCACTCTACTTAGCCCCCTCCAACTCTCTCCCCCCCCCCTCCACCCGAAATCATTTTCAGCCCTCTTTAGCTGGGAGCCAGACACCTTCCGATCACTTTTTAGATAACTTTGGCAAATCAGGGGGGATACCAAAGCAACACTGGTTATTAGTCAAGGTTGGAGTATTGCACTGAGCTTCTGGAAGACGGGGGAGTTCAATACCCCGGATAGCACTAAGGTCTTACTTTTGATATCCTTAAAACAAGGACACTGAATGACAGATCTCCATGAGGATCCAAGAAACAGGTGAGCCGTAGCAGGAGCAGCACTCCAAAACCTGATCAACGCCCTACAAATAATGACCTTCCTACTGAGGCTGCCCTTTCAGCTCAGGAGACCCAGAGCAGAAGGGCTGGATTCAGACCTGAGGCTGCCAGCTTCCCATCCTGACAAAGGACATGGTCCTTTGCCAAAGTGATGGAAAGAGTTAGGATAACGCTTACATTTATTTATTTATTTTACTGCTCACCCAGAATATCCTAAATGGGCCAGGAAGAAGAATGCCAAGCTGTGGTCCGTACATTTTTCAGGTTTAGCTCCAGTTTAAGTGGTGGAATAAGGAAAGGAAAGGAAAATAGGTGAAGAACCATGGTTGAGGAGATAGGAGAAGAGGGCGAAGGAAGGAACATTCCTGATTCCTGTCTCTTGGCAGAAAGAGCCCCTAAATCTGTAGGCAAACTTGAGGCAGACTTGACTTGCCCCGGTTTGCTCAAAAACTGTCTTGACTGATCCCCACAATAACTGGGTGATTATTGAATCTCTGAGAGTTCTAGATTTGTGGGAAGTTTAAACTTCTTGGCTTTTAGTGACATGACTAAATCTTTTTCTGCTTTCTCTTAAGTCCTTCTGGCCCATGAAACCCTCCAGACATCAACATGGATAAACTCATGGCTTCAACATAGGCACATGATGTGTAAGTGGCTTACTGCTTGTATTTCTTGGTAAATCATACATCTGGCTTGTTGCCACATCCCTTGAGTCCAACTACCTTAGCAGGAAGAAGGAACATATCCTCTCCAAGAGCCTGATCCAATAAGGCACAACCTTGGCATTAGCCCCCAGACATATACAAATATTTTTGTACGTGCTATGTCTCTTACGACTGGCTTCAGGTGGCCCTCGTAACGAGAGACTTCATTCATCCTTAGCTGCACTAGTGTTACAGAACTATTTTCTTTTTTCCAGCTCTACCCAAGGGCCGCCTCACCAGGATTGTTAGGACTTGTCACCTGGAGGAAGTCAGGGACTGCAGTGGCTTGAAAGAGCAAATTGTACAGACAGGATAGGGATTAGCAACGGGGAGACACATGACATGCCAGTATAGTTTTTTGCTGAATTCAGGAAGGGTGGATAGCATTCAGTAGCACTTAGCACTTAGACTTATATACCACTTCACAGTGCTTTTACAGCCCTCTCTAAGCGATTTACAGAGCCTGTTGCCCCCAACAATCTGGGCCCTCATTTTACCCACCTCGCACGGATGGAAGGCTGAGTCAACCTTGAGCCTGGTGAGATTTGAACTGGCAAACTGCAGTCAGTTGGTAGTCAGCAGAAGTCGCCTGCAGTACTGCACTCTAACCACTGCGCTACTACTGGAAAAGACCGCTAAGTTCAATCCCCACTGGCAACAGAATACCACAAACCAAGATGCAGATGTAAGCACACAACATTTGCCCCTACCCCACCACGGATCATTTACTTGCAAACTCTAGGATTGACCGTCAATGTTTCTTGGACGATGGTAACTTACGGTTGGCAGAGCTTGACAAGATCCTGATCGGTGGTACCAGGATGCAGGCCCCGGATATACAAGTTTGTTTTGCTCAGCTGGTCCCCGCCACCTCCGCCACCGCCTGGCCCACTGCTGCTGCTGCTGCTGCTATTGTTGTTGCAGCTGCCACTGGGGCTTGGGGGTGCCATCTGCTGGGCCACTGAGACATAAGGCTGCATGGCAAAAAGAGAGAGAGCGCGTTAAAATGGCTGTTGAGACAGGCAGCGCAACGACAGCTAGTAAGACAACGCTCCATTGTGGGCGACAGAGACACAAGTGAGCAGAGTGTGGAATTCCCACTGCACTCGGTCTAATTTTTCTTTTCAGACAACTGAACAACTTTGACCTCCGATCACGATGAGCATAAAGGAACTGCAAGATATATATATATATGTAAAACTGTAAAAGTCTGACTCACAGATGAACACTATACAGAAGCCTGATGATGGCAGATGAGATTCTGCCGAAACGTTGCTACAGCTTTAAAAGCACAACTACAATGACGTGGGAAAATACCCAAACAAAGCTGAATACCATACATATACATATACATATACATATACATATACATATACATATACATATACATATACATATACATATATATTCGTAGATTTTCACGGGTAGAGGAATGCAGGTCTTGCCGTGTTCGGGTCTTTTCCCATGTAAGATTGAAAGTATCTTGGCGACATTTCGATGAGGTCCCACTCGCCATCTTCAGGCTGGTGCTTTCGGCTTTGTGCTTGTGCGAGCAAAGCGTGATCGGAGCTGCCGTCTCTCTATAAACATCAACTCCATCAACCAATCAAGAAATGACAACACAGCCAACCTCCCCACCAGTATTTATAGAGAGACGGCAGCTCCGATCACGCTTTGCTTGCACAAGCACGAAGCCGAAAGCACCAGCCTGAAGATGGCGAGTGGGACCTCGTCGAAACGTCGCCAAGATACTCTCAACCTTACAATATATATATATATATATGTATATATATATATACATAATGCCTTGCTGAAAAGATGGAAGATAAGAAGAATGGTCTTGTCTCCTTTTGGTACAAAGACCCCAGCTAATTTGCCCATAACTGGGTCTGCATCAGAGAGAGAGAGAGAGACCCTTGGGACAAGGATTTCTTCTCTTCTGCTTCCTAGAGGTGGGAAGCCTTTACAACTTAAATAAAATTAAAACATACAATAATTGTAAGATCAGGTCGGGGCAGAGGAGTTTTGCTTCCTCCAAGGGTTTCAAGCCTCTTCCCGCTCTCAGGGCTAGAATCCCCTCACATCACCCATCCTGCCCCAAAGTGGTCCCTGGTCAATTGCCTTCAGTCCCCGGAAGGGGAGAAGTAAAGAGGCTTCCTCATCCAGGATCATCAGAAATTCCACCCTCCCGATGGATCTGAACCCCTGAATGTAACAAAGGCCCCCAAACCCTGCCACCATCAGAGAGGATAGTTATAAAAGGAAGGGGGAAAAAAACAGCCTTGCTATCATTGGTCAAGACACCTTTGATGTCATAATCAAAGTCAGCAAGTAAATTTGGTTAGAACATTCTCAGCTTGGACTCTTTTTACAGACAATTCCTGCACTCTGTGCAATGATCGTAGAGCCTTTGCTCATGTTTCAGCAGAGCAAGGCATGTTCCATCCCAAAACCATCCCAATTTTCAGGACCCAAACTGCAATTTTGCTGCAGAACTTTAGCTTTCTACCTAGCGTATTCGTTTTCATGGGTGATTGTGATGGCTCCATTGAACGTTGTTGCTTTAATATAGTGAGCTTGCACCAAACCATAATAAGCTCTATTTAGGTTTGGTTTAGCATGCTGTAGAAATTCGGCAATTCTGGTTTGTAAGCCACAGTTTCTGGCTTCCCACCTTAGGCAAATCCATCCAATTGTGTTTCAGTACCCTAGGTTTAAATCAAGTATAGTTTAATGCAAGGTGTGAACTCCACTGGTGGTTAATGTTCAATATGATCTAGAAGGCCAAAGGATGCAGCTTCTTCATACTGTTTACCTTGCCATCTCTATGTAGTTTTTGGAAGCAAATACTCTGATACACCATTTTGTTGCCACTAGTACACGACTGGCACTAAACCAGCAGTTAATACAAATACGTTTACATTGCCAGATAATTCTGGGAATTTTATAGTTCTAAGAAAGAAGACTAACTATCGCTTAGCATAATTCTCAGCACATTAAAATACAATTTCCAGGATTTGGGGAGGGAGGGGAAATTTTAACAGTATAAATCCAATATATACTTGTAGTGAAAATATATTTTAGCTTTTAAGTTGTTTTTTTTAAAAAAAAAAAAAACCTGGACAATCTCTTGGAGATATTAAAATGCAAAAAAATATTCATATCTGCAATGGTCACCTGGCCAATATGGAGGGGGGAAAAGATTTTGCGTCTACCCGGACATCTAGCAATGTTAGCTTCAAAAAGTCAGGTGATTTATTCTTTTCACAGTATATAATCCTAGCAGTGCCTGCTAACATCTGTGAATCAGACTGGTTTTAAAGGCCCAGAAGCAGAGCTCATTCTCATCGCAAGCACTTTCCTATACTTATATGCTTCGGTTTACTTTCTTCGTAAATGAAAAACAAGTATTATTACAGCTACAGTTTTTGTCAAGTTCACTTGCTTATCCAAATGGTTTGGTCTCTTTCTAAGATCCCTGTATCCCATTATTCCTCGTGCATTGTGGGAAGCAGAAGAGGAGGTGCAAAGGGAAGAAAGTGGAGGAGCTTTTCCAAGTTATTCCTCCGCCCTGGGGCATGTGCAGGACAAGACCAGATGTACATATGTTTGGCTGTGCACGAAGAGGCTGTACTCCCAACCTTCCCTTGCAAAGTGCTGCTGAAGTCACCGAGTCTTCTTGTCCTGCCCACAGGGACACTCGGGGTGGAGTACTTCTATTGCAAAACTGCTCAGCTATTCAGCAGGCCTGGCTCAAAGCTCAAGAGAGGCCATAGGCTGGGATCAGAAGGGGCTTTGAAGGAGGAAAAGCAGAACCAGAATGGATACGAAACTCAGAAGTAGGCTAGGCGTCCTACTCCACATTAAAAAATAAACGCTGAACCGGTTTTGCCTTCTCATTTAGTTACCACACTTCGATTACAGGCGGTCCTTGGCTTGTAACCATTCCTTTAACGACTGTTCAAACTTACAAAGGCACTGAAAAAAGAAACTTATGACTGTCCCCCAAAGTGCTTTTTTTCCAAGAGGCAATCGAAGACGTTTCACGTCACAGCCAAGAAGTTTCTTCAGCTCCGAGAAGCGAAACGTCTTCAAAGAAAAAACAGGAAGTCCGGTTGCCTCTTGAAAAAAAAAACACTTTTGGGACAACCATGACCTGGATGCCTCGAGAATCTCCATAGACACTTAACATATGACTGGTTTTCACATTACGACTGTTGTGGAAGTCCCCACAGTCACGTGATCAAAATTCAAACACTTAGCAACTGGCAGGTATTTATTTATAGGGGTTGCAGTGTCTCAGGGTCATGTGATCATCTTTTGCAACCTTCATCAATGGGGAAGCCAGATGTACTTAATGCACAGATGCTAGTAACTTAACTATTGCAGTGATTCACTTAACAACGGTGGCAAGATCATAAAATGGGGCAAAATTCACTTAACAACTCTCTTGCTCAATTCTGGTTGCAAGTCAAGGAATATTTCTACATGGTTATCAATCTACTAAAGAGAACTGGAATGACAACTTTAATGTATGTTTTAATTTACAGGCATCCATTGATAAATAATGGATACTCCTTTGTGAACATTGTACTAAAATAACAGTTTCAAATTTCCAATCAAAGCCTTGGTTTAAACAGGGGTCTTCAAACTTGACAGCTTTTAGACTTGTGGACTTCAACTCCCAGAATTCCTCCTCCTCTAGCTCAGGAATTCTGGGAGTTGAAGTCCACAAGTCTTAAACTTGCCCAGTTTGAAGACCCTTGGTTTAAAACCAAGTGTGACTTCAGTAAATTAATGTAGCGATGGTACCTATACTCTTAAGGGGCAACAACTCAAATTAAATTTCAAAACAGGATAGGGACAGGCCACAATAAAATGAAACAACTAGAACTTGTAAAAATATAGAGATAACTGGCTAAAATAATTATTAAACAAATTATAAGTTAGTAAAAACAAAAGGAATAAAATATTAAAAATAAAAAAGAATTAAATATCTAAATTTTAATTCAGTTGCAGCTAAAAGTTTGAGCTTTTTCCATGGTGAGTCTAGTATAATTAATTTTAGATATCAATGAATGAACACAAGTTTATTAACTATCACTGACTGTTGCTTAGCACTGTAAAATACTAAGATTGCAGTTTTAAAATTCTATCCAAGCCATAAAATTCTAAACAGGTAAAACTAAACAACTGCCTGTTAAATAGGATTGCTGTTCCTATTGGCCACTCCTGGAGGCCACTCTTAAGTTCTGCTCGCCAGGATAGAGCAAGGCTAGCCTTTGATTTGCTAGAACTGGATGCTGAAAGAAGTTAAATTAAAATTTTTAATGCCAATTTGGTTAAAAAAAAGTCAATGCAGAAGGGTATGTATAACTTATTCATTTTTTTTTCAACGGAACTTGAGTATAAACCATGTTATATGAATCCTTTCTTAAAGGAGCTAAAAGTAAGGCAGTTTGTCTGGTTGATGCAAAAGTTTTTTGAGTTTTGGGCACAAAATGTTGATAAAGTATTTGGCCATGAAGAATGCTCCTTCAGAATGTTCCTGATGAATGCCTAAATTACTGGTTTTTGGAGTAGAGTTTGGATTCTTTTGTAAATCTAAATTGAGAATCTATCTTATTTCTGATAGAGTTTTCTCAAAGCCAGTCAAGACCAAATATTACATGAAAATCTGAGAAGATTTAGATGAGGATTCATTTCTATTAGCCATAAATGCATCCAGTTATCTTGGATCACCAATAAGATTAGCTGGAGGAAATGTAATCAGTAATCTCACGGCATATCAAACTAGTAGCCAGTAAAAGAAGACAGAAAAAAATAGAAGTCAATAGCTAAACATGAATTTTCTGAATGTATAGTTGATATATTCTGTGCTTTCATGACTCATAAGAATGGATTATTTAACAATTAATATACAAGCTTGAGATACAGGACTTTTATCCAATCTAGAAGTGCCATCCAATATCTT